AAGAACACAGAGTTAGAAGGAGGTGCACTTAGATTCTAGCCTCACTGTCTTCAAGCTTTCCAGTCACAGACCTGGTCTATGAGCTCACTGAGTTATGGTTACTCCTAGGTACACTGGACATACTAATCAACATGGTTGGGAAAGTTAATGAGAATGTTTTCATATATGCAGATGTGTGGTCCCTGATAGAGTGTAGATACCCAGTAAATAGTTGCTGTTGTTTTCACTGTACTGCTTATGTGATCTTCCATTTTACATTGGTTTGGTGGTCTATAAGGAATGAGGAACAAAGGCCGCAATGAAGGCAGACTTCAGCAGACAGTTCCTCGTGTGACATGTGGCATTGTGTTTCATAGCAGCTCTACTTTGAGATGGCTTCCGAGGCAGGTGTGCAGAGATGCCAGCAAAGCACCAGGCTGAAGAGAAGTGACCCCCTGTCTGTTCTGCATCTTATGCCATCAAGAGATTGAGGTCTAAGGGCAGCTCTTTATCACAGTGGTGATGTAAGAGGCAGAGACAACAGCTGGATTCCCAGAGTCTGAGTAGAATTTATGGCACGAGCAGCCCCACAAAATTACCTGTGAACTTAAGAACTAAGTATGGAAGTCATTAAAGGGAATAAATATGAAACCCCATGAAGTCATTTTCATTGACTCTTTTGTAGAGTATAACTACCCCTTAAGCAATCAAACATGACAGACCACGCAGTAGCACTGATTATAGACCCTCAGATGTGTGCCAACACCTGAAAGAGAAAATAAGGAAATAGGGGTAGAAGATGGTTTGCCAAAAACTGGAAGATCATAGCAGCAGGATATGAAGGAAAGGGATCGGATTAAAGGACAGGAAGATTATGCCTCTTTTTAATTATAAATTTCACACTTTTAGTAAACTAGTATGTGTCCTGAACATGTACACTTAACTAATTACATAGAGGATATCTGTGTATTGCCAGGTAACTGTCCACTGAAATGTGGGAGAATACTGACCAATGTTTTTCTTTATTACCTTAATGTAGTTGCCAGGAGATGAAAGAGAAGAAAGTTCAGTGTGGTGAACTGTTAATAATCTCTAGCCATACGATTTGTTAGGAAGAACAATGAACAGCTTCTGGGCCCAGTTTTGCTGGTTGTGTAGCTGCTAAGGCAAATGGGCCAATTCATAGCACCTCTCCACTGTACCAGCCAAAAACAGTTTGATGGCTGTTACCATCTTCTTCCTCTACTGGGCAGCAATGTGCTGGTGAGGCCTTGTGATAATATAGAGTCTATACTATAGACTGATGTTTAAGAGGAAGCTCTCCTGGCCAGTGAGAATGACTGCTAGCTCCTAGAACTCTGTTCTACTTGCTGTGGTAAGCATCACTATCCCAAGACAGTTAGTCGTTCCTGGTGTTAGTTAGTTAGATTTAGTTTGGGTTTTTCGTTTGTTGGTTCATTTTGTTTAAGCTTTTCATTTAGGACTAAGGAAAAAAAAAATGATTCTGTTTGAGGTCAGAGGGGAAATGGAACAAATACTATTTCTTCCATCCCTGGAAGGAAACAAGGCAAGAAAATGAGAAGAGACTTGGGACAACCATCTGTACATTTCTATGAGTAAATCATTAAATAAGGAGAAAAATAATTGCAAAGTTAAGCACGTCCAGAGCACAAAGAGTGAGCAAAGCTAGCTGGGAAAAGAAGTGTTAATGCAGCAAGACTACCAACCAGCTATAATGAATTTAACCATAGAATTACACAGCCTTTTCCCACCAGGAACTGTAGCCAAAGCCATAGCCTTTTCATAGTGGGAGGAACCTTACCCTAGTCTTCAGTCTGAGTTTATCACTCCAGTGGTGATTTCAGTATTATCATAATTATTACTGCTGCTAATATTGATTGTTTTCATGATCCACCCTCATTTTAAGGTGTAATTGAACTATAAAATGGTATTTATTTGCTCAGTTTGTTGATGCTAATAACTGAAACAAGTTTGTTACTTTTGAAATATAGTATTCCGGCAAGCTCTCCCTGACTCTGGTCTGGTCTTTTGGTCTGATTATCATTACTGTTGGTGGTCTGGTAGACTTATTGGTATTCATCAGGCACTGACAAATATCCTTGCTTAGCTGTTAACAAGGGTAGGACCTTTAGAAGTCGGCTCCCCTAATCTCATCTGAACATGAGGACAGTGGAGAAGATGAGCTTCAGGTCCACTCAGTTCATCATCGGTTTTCATACCCTTCTAAGCAAGATTCCTTATTCCTTTGGAATTCCACTCAACCAAGGTCAGCTGGGCACACATTCATATGCAAAGAATTGTACTCTGGAGGAAGGAAAAGAGGTATGGCCCTTATTCTACATACCATAAGCTGACATTGCCAACAGCCCTATACCCAAAGATAGTCACAAGAGAAATGCTCAAGAAATGTCTTGGCCCACAATTACACCTGATAGTAGAGAATTCAGGATGAATATCCAAGGATAAAGGGTGAACTGTCCATGCTTAAGCTGGCTAGAGAATGGAAAGCTGTGTGGAAATATGATTGGTCAAAAAGAGTGTGACCTAATGGTAGGGTAGACTGAGCACAGAAACCCAGCAAGGCCTGTCTGTTCAGATTCTTGCTGGCTTCTCTGTGCTGCATTCCTTCTACCCGGGTATGGACAGGACCCTTCCTTAACCTGGGGTCTTACGATCTACTTCAAATAAGGTATGTCAGAACATTTGTGGCACGAGAAGATTAGAGCAATGTTATTAAGCTTTGTGATCTGCTGTTCTAATTCCCATATCCTGCCTTGCAAAAAAAAAATCTGTTACTTCTGTGATTTGTGTTGCATTGAGAGGAGGCAGGACAGAGGAGGACAAGAGGGGGTGAGAGAGAAAATTTGCCTCTCAGGCTGTCCCTGTAGCTTCCACCCCTATTGTATCTGCTTTTCGAGAAATGATACAAACAGTGATTGATGTCAGTAGTATGTGCCAGGGGACTCAAGGGTATTTCCCTTTGAAAAATTATTCTTAAATGAGGTGGCATTAATAGCCCATAAAGAAGTCATAGGTAGACATTGAAATGAAAGAAAAGTAGCATGAACATATGGGAAAGAATAGGGCTTTGCTCATGTGTGGAATGAACTGCAGGGATAAGAATTGAAAGTTGGATGGGGCCACCCTGTAACATACTCAATGTCAAGCTGAGAAGTTTGGTGCACAGAAGGAATGTGTTTAGGGCGGTGCTTTAGAACACTAATGTAATGATGGTAGAAAGGTCGAGTGTTGGTATAAAATGAAAAGAAACTAGAAGAATGGAGGCAGTCCTCCAATTATCTGGCTGCAGGCAGTAAAGTGGTAATAGTGTTGGGTACCAAAAACAAGTAGATTCAAGTTGGCCAGAGGAAGAACTGTGGGCTTGGCAGCTGATTGGATATGGAAAGGCAAACACATCTGGATAACTGCTCAACTCTAGACAAGCCATGGAGTAGAGGTAGCATCAACCCTGGGTTAGCAACCAATTTGGGAGAAAAGACAAGTGGGGTCTATCTGAAAGTTTCTAATTTAAAACAGGCTGATAATACTTGACAGGGATGTTAAGTTTTGAAGAGATAGACCCTGAACTGCTCACCTTTGCCACGGGTCTCCTAATATGCATGCTGGGTGACCAAATGATGAGTGCTGGTCACTCGCTGACTTTAGAAGATGGATATATAGCAATGCAGGAAGCAAGAAGTAGAGATAGCAAAGTAGGTACTCTGTGGGAAAGTGCTTGTTGGGGTCCAGGCAAGATTTCTAGACAAAGCCTGTGCTGTGGGGTGGCGGGGCGCAGGGGGGGGGAGTCTGTTAAAGGATTTGCCTATCAAGGGAAGAGGAGATGGAAAACAAGCAAAGGGCAGGACACAGAACAGCAAACTGGACACAGGGAAGCAGGCAATTAGGACAATGTCTGCCCCATTACAAAGATGTGTACGTTTCATGGACAAAATGAGCCATGAGCAGGACTGAAAAGGCATGGATGTCAGGGGTGAGGGGGCAGTGAGCGGGAGGTCCCTGGAGACAGATCATAATCTACATTTCTCAGGCTGTACTCCCTGGGGGTAAAGATAAGGGAGGGAGACTTGAGTTCTCGGCAAGGGGAACAGAGAGAAGGCAAGAATCCAAACCAGGTAAGTGGCTGTCTTCAGGAGAAGCAATGCCTGAGCAGTGGCAAGGAAGAGGCTGAAGGCGCCAAAAATATCAGTGCTGGGATACACATGGACACCATGCAGCACCACTCAGCCTTTGAAAAGAGGCTGTCTCATTGCCCCATGAGTGGACCTGGAAAATCCTTAAGTGACATAACCCAGGCATAGAAAGATAAACATAGCCTGCTCTCTCTTAGATATAGAATCCAGAACAGTCAAACTCATAGAAGCAGCAAATAAAATGGTGGCTAACATAAGCTATGAGGACGTTCAAAGAATGCTCCATTTTATTTAAACATTTTTCTAGTCGAAACATTTTATTCTAGACAAGACATTAGTTCAGAGATTTTTTTTTCCCCTCCCTTCTCTTATCCATTCTCTTCCTCCAGGCAGCTGCTGTGATTTCTAGTTTGCTACCTGTCTAGGATTAAAAAATAAAAATAAACTATCACCACAAATCACAATATGTAACTTGATTTGTGTATCGCACAATGAACATAAATCTCAAAATATTATGATAACATTATATGTTCCACAAATAAGTATAATTTGTGCCAGCTAACAATCAACCAACACTTGTAAAACATCAGAACAATTGGCTGGGCCAACTTGGAAAGATGCTGTCCTCAGTCTCTCTGGTCTAACCTCCACTCAGCTTTCCAAAGCTACTTCATCTGCATTCACAGACCATCCAGCTGTCAGCAGAAACACTGTGGAACAAGGTGCAGAACCAGCTACAGTCATGTTCCTTAGTTCATCTCTTTCAAAAACAGTTACATAAATGAAAAAGAATGACGTAATCATGACCTACTCATTTAATGACCTTGTTTGTTTTGTTGTTTATGCTAGATGCAGCCGCTCGCTGTCCCCTGCCCCAATGAACATCTGCACTAGGCGCCAGCCTTGGAGTGGCTTACCTGAAGAGTGACACCATTTATCTGAAAACTACTGTAAGTACATTATGCCTCCAATGAATTAAATTACTATGTGTAAAAGATGATGATGATGGTGATGAACCACACAATTGTAAAAGCAGGTAAAATATCAAGTAGCTTCATCTTTTAGATACACCTTCATCTCTTAGGTGACCAATCCCAGTACCTGCAGCTGTTTTCATCTACCAGCATTCATTGCATGCATGCCTCCCTGGGCAGTGTTCTCTCCAGTCTCTCTCCCATCTCCTGGTGGCTGTGTCATGCCGGATCTCTGTGTACCTCGCAGGGACTAGAGCTATTCTGCTTGGTCATGTGTGCCTCTTCCCAAGATGGTAGTAGCTACTCTCCCTGTGTTTATGGCTCATCATGTGTCAGTCTATTGAATCTGGCAGTTGCTTGTCATTTCATGTCACTCCGGTCAAATCTCTGAGCCAGCTTAGTTTGCCTATGCCTACATGATCTCTGGGACACAGCCCATGTTGTTGCCCCCTTGCAACTGTAAAGAGACAAGGGACTCTGGGTTCCTTCCACCCCACCGTATTTCCATCCCATCAAGCCAGATCTGCTCTGCCCTCTGGGGGCATGGCTCTGTGTAGCCAATTTGGTTCCTGTACACAGGGTGTTTCTGTAGAAACATATCCCCACAAGGAAATAAGACAGGGTAGAAGAGTCGATACCCACAGGAAACTAATGAGAATTTACTAATCATGTTAAAACTAATACATGAATATATGCTTTTTTCCACTAAGAAAAGCCAGACATTTGAATAGTTTAGAAGCTATGCGTGTAAAATAATTATGCATTTTAAAATGAAATCTCATTTTAATTGTACTTACAAGTTTTTCTGTAGGGTATAAGGCAGGTAATGGTATGGTGATTTACAGAAGTCTCTGTACTGGAAAATGCTAAATCTGGGAGGCTAATCCTCCTCTTAGATGCCTGGTAGGATTTTTCACATTCCTACTACCCCATGTCTTTAACTATACTAGCATACCTCAAACCAAAAGAAATGAAGCTAGAATTTTTTTTTTTTTGAGTCTTTTTACCTGTAAAGCATTTGGTCTCTTGGATGATAATTGATGATAGCTGGTATGTAGGTGAAGGATAGGCCTTTCTAGTCAAGATGGAGAATGAAGGGCATTGAGGGGCTAGTCCATAATGACATGGGAGAAGACTATAAATTGTTACTTCTGCCTGTAATCATACAGGGAACTTAAGTGCATAATTTATCCTTATGTTCGAATGCAGGGTGTCCCTTAGAAATCCTCACATCTAAGTAGTTTCTCACGTCTGAATTTTGCTTCAACATAAGGTGAAATCGGTGCCAGTAGCACAGTCATGCCAGGATATAGGCTGGTATCAAGGGTTGTGTATTCTTTGTAGTTCCGCCATTCTCGTGCTGCAGAGAACACAGACCTAAAACTAAGAATTGGAATCTAGTCTTGGAAATTGTAAGAAAACGCAGTCACCTGTTTTTGCCTCAGAACGGTATTTCATGGGCAGGTTGGATTATAACCCTAGTAGTGTCTGCCCTTCAGAGACTGCTTCCTTACACACACACACACACACACACACCCGCAGGCACGCACGCACGCACACACGTCACTAAGGTGGGAAAAAGATAAAAACAGGAACTTGACAAAAGTATGTCCCTTCGTGAGAGTATTCTGAGAGCTGCCAGCGCTCTGTACCTGTTCCCCAAGTTGAAGGTGATGGTTGGAGCAAGTGCTGGGTTGTATCACATTACCTGTGCACATGCTCAAGCCTACCTGCTTATTCATGCTGTTGTGATAATTTAGCCAAATAATGTATAGAGAGGGTCTGGCAAGGCAGAGATGAGTGTATCTCCTTACTCCACTAAAACTTACTTAGCATTCAGTGGGTGCCAGACACTATTGTGGGGACTGGGATATTGTAGCAAGGAACACAAGCAAATCCCTGATTGTGAGCTTACATTCAGTTTCGCTGCTCTATAAATGGCAAACAGACAAAATAGGTACATAGAAGCTAACAGAGGACTGATTTGATTTTATTTTCCTTTTTCCTTCCAGAAAGTATAATTGAGAGGAAAAGTGTGAAAGAAATGCAAAGGGGAAACAATAGGTATGCCAAAGAATCTTGCCAACCCACCTACCGTTCCCCGTCCTAATGCATGACCCAGAGACTTCTCAGGGATCCAATACCCAGCCCACTTGTTCTCTAGCTTCCTTATAATCAGGCCTAAAGAAGACTTCTGCAAGAGATGTCAGGATGGAAGCAGCAAGAAGTAAGAATGTCACAGCCACCCTAGCTCCATCCTGACTCAGTTCAGAAAATGTGCCCCTCCCTGGCCTTCAGGTTTCATTGTGATAAACGAGAGATCAACAACTCTACATTGTTGCAGATCTCTGGTGCGTCACCTTCACTTAAGAGTGTCCCTTACTCTCCCCTACACCTTCGGACACAGTTCCTTCATCTCTTCAGTTAAAACCTTTACATAGAGCTTCCCAGTAGAGGCACACGCCTTGTAATCCCAGGACTTGGGAGGCAGAGGCAGGCAGATCTCTTTGAGTTCTGGGCCAGTTACAAAGTTAGTTCCAGCATAGCCAAGGCTACATAATGAAACTCTGTTTCAAAAAAAAAAAACAAAAAGGGGGGAGGGGGACTTTACATGTGCCATTTATTTCCTGCCAGGATCCTGACTGCAGTGAGGAGAGATAGTGAAAAATATTGTAAATCAGCCCTGCCAAGAAGGAAAAAAAAAAAAGATTGAGATAATAAAATGCTTTCATCATGAAAACATTTTAAATTAATGTGAGAATACTGGGCCAAGTTGTGAAAGGATAAATTGTAAAAAGGCGTGATAAGCAAGAGTCCTGTAGGTTGCTTTCATGAATAGACCATAGTGTTCGGGTCCATGGGCTACTACCCCAGGCCAAGTGCAGCTTGCTTGACCCTCAGCTCCAAGGAGCTCTCAGTGCAGCCACAGCAATGAGAGGCATGTGAACAGAAGGGAGTGGGGGGTGAGATCAGGGTGGGAAGAAGGGTTGCTGAGCCTAACATTCCTTCTCTGTTCACTACAATAACAATCCTTTAGCCCTTGCCCCTGACCTAGATATTCAAAAGATTACTAAAATGAAGATGCCTTACTTGTACAGCTAACATGAACACCACAGAACTAATATCTTTCAAAAAACACCATCGTAGAGTACTTGTTCCTGGGCCAGCACTGTGCTAAATACAACCTGGCTCATCTCCTTTATTCTTACTCATGGCCCACAGCTGGAAGATATCAATCCTGTTCCCATTTTACAGATGGAGGCTCAGAGATGCAAACTAAACTGCCTTGGGCACATGACTGCTAGCTGGTGGTACTGTTTTCCTAAATCCCTGTCCCCAGGTGGGAGCAGTGGTGCCTTTTTACTTCTGCCCCAACCCCTCCCTGGACACTCTACAGTTCTGAAGCAGAGGAGAGAAATAGTTGCCACTCCAAAAAGGCTGAGGAAGGCGTCACTGATTTAAATTATCCTGATCTAATGACTGAGTAATTATTTATCAAAGGGAGGTTCTGACTAATCCTTTCCAATCCAGCCAGGCTGGTGAGTGGAAAACCTGTTAGTGTGCAGGAGAGGGTGGAAGCCAGCTGCAGGGAGAGCATTGGGAGAGAGGAGAGAGAGAGAGAGAGAAAGAGAGAGAGAGAGAGAGAGAGAGAGAGAGAGAGAGGCACTTGCCTCTCAACAGACCCTGGAGACTGATAAGAGCTCACACAGATAAAATATTTATTTTTCCATATGCTGCAGAAAGTATTGCCATCACTGTATGTGTGCAATATGTGCAAAGGAGTGTGAACTATATACATCCAACACTGCGGATCTGCCTAATTTCCATGCGTTTAACATGCTTAATACCTAACAGCGCATCCATATGTTTTAATGCATATTTCTTTGCACAAACAATATGGTCTAGTTAGGAAAGAGCCAGCATCCTCCACAGCCTTGCTCACTGCTATATTTCAGCCCGAAACTTTCTGTCGGAGCCAGCACAGGGAGAGTTAAAAAGCAGAAGGTTCTGCTGGCTAGCTTGGCTGCCCTTCACCTTAAACCGCCTTCCTATTTCTTGAAGCAGCCTTTTTCTCATAACAAAAATGTTCACAGTGGGGAGATGAAAATGTTTTTGTTCTCTTTGGACAATTGGGACATGTTCAGTCAGAATGTCAGCACTGACCGTTGAAAGGAGGGTGCCTGCGGCCACACTTTTTTTTTCTTTTCTTTCTTTCTTTTTTTTTTTTTTTTTTTTTTTTTTTTTTTTTTTGAATGCAGAGCTCCACCAGTGTGGCGGGAGGAAGTGCACAATGATTGGCCTGTTTTTCTGTGGAAGTGTTCAGGGTTCACCCAGTTTTGCTTTGCATATATTTACGAAACATCTGCCCTTTTCTTGTTCTGAAGTCTTTCTCCCTCACAGCCCTCTTTCCCCTTTCCCCCGGGTTTTTCTTTGTTGTTGTTGGCCTGTCTGACTTTTTCGTTGAAGTTTTCATTTTCCGGTTGAGGGGCCACCTCATCACAGTGTATAATTTTAACAGAGGAGGAGAGAGAAGAGAGGAAGAGAGAAGAGGAAGAGGAGGAGGAGAGAGAGGGAGAGAGAGAGAAAGAGAGAGAGAGAGGATACACAGCAGGCGCGGGGAGGGGGGAGGAACAAACTTGAAAGAGACTGAGAGGCCAGAAAGAGCTTGGCAAACCAACCTTTGGCATGGTGACCAGGAGGAAGGTTCTGGTAGGAGTTTGCTTGCTGAAATGCTGCCTGGAGTCAGCCAGTGTGCTGCTGCCCTCTGCAGGCTCCAAGGGATAGTGTAGGCTACACAGGCTTGTACAGACATGTCCTCAGATGTGCCATGTTTATACAATCCTTTTTATGCAACCAAAGAAGGCATTTTCAGTTAATTACAAGAGAGCTTGCTCTTTCCTCCTTAATAAACCACAGACTGCAAAAATAAAAATGGGTCATAGAATAGCACCTGTGTGTGTGTCAGACAGACTGGTGTTATGTGTTGCTATTCCCTGGCTTCAGAAAAAGGAGTCCCAAAGAATTGTAAAAGAGCTTGGGGTGGGAGAGGAAGTGCTCCGACAGACAGTGTGCAGTGCTCTGGTCTGTAAGTTAGGAAACAGCCAATGGTAACAGGGCAAATAGAATGATATTAAGCAAGTGAGGGAAGGAGCCAGGTAGGTTGGCTTTGAATATATCCTTCTTACAGAGGTGGCTGCAATGCTCCTGTGCCATGGATGCCCTCCCAAGGTGATCCTAGACATAAGACGAGGCACAAGATATCATACAGGCATCACAACCCAATCCAGGACAAGAAACAAGGATGTAAACAGTGCAAGTTCTCCAGGTTTAAATCAGACTCATTGGGTGTTTGGCAGCACTAGTGCTTGGAAGAGATCACCCTTAATTCTCTCAGCCATATGTCTGAAACTAACTCAGGCCTTGTCTGTAAGGCCCAGAGGTCATTTTCTTTTCTGCTACATGATAATGGCCATTGGTATTTTGTCCCTATATTTAGATGAATTGCAAGGAACAGCCACTCTTATTAAATACTATTTGTGTAATCAATGAAAAAACTACCAATCCAGGTTGATTCCACTGCTGCATAAAAACTAGGAAGCTTAATTGGGATTCAGACTGGTACTAGTTAGTCTCCAAGTGTACTTGAATTTCAGCTCTGTTTAAGTCCTTCAGCAAACAGCTTTTGAATGGCTGTTGTGTATAAGTTGCCCTAGTTTAGTATAGACTAGACAGCAAACTCTGGGAGGGCAGGACAAGATCACTCAATCCATTACCTGTAGAACACATCACAGCCACGTGGTATTTGTAAAATGAATGTGTGAGTGAGTGAGTGAATGAATGAATGAGGGAAGGAGCAGAAAGGCAGAAAGAAAGAACTGGAAAGAACACCAGAAATATAACAATAACAAGAACATTCCCCTAGAAGTAGGAACATATAACTAAGAATTACTGAAATAAGATTTAGTGAGTAAAATGAGAGTACTGAAATGACTGAGAGATTTTAGAATCATGGAGAAGAGTCACCCTTTCTGAAAGAAGGGACTCACAGTGATATAACGTGCAGCTGGCATTTAATAAGTGTGAAGGATATGTCTCCTTTCATCAGGCAGAGATGAGAAAAGGCTGCTCAGAGCAAGAACAGTAACTAACCCAGAATGTACATTCCAGAGCTCTGGGAACAATAAACAAACTCCAAGGTGGTCAATATATAGGACCCATGAGATAAGGTAGGACAGATAAGGAGCTGACCTGGAATGCCAGGCCACTGGTCCTGCAGGGTTTAGTGAATGAAAAGCCCAGGGCTAGGGGGATGGGGGATGGCAAACAAGTTAGTGGACGCTGCAAAGTGTTAAGGCGGCTGCCTAGAGAGGGAGCAGACTTGAGAGGACTGCAGGGTAAGCTGAGGCAGAGGAAGGTGAGTGCTGCACTGGGGGCTTCCACAGCAGACACTGCTAGAAATAGATGCCTCAGGGGAAGCACTGGGGGGGGGAGGGGCGGGCTTTGTAGACTTTGATCTTGGATGCTTTCTTAATCTGAAAAACTGGACTAGCAGATCCTTGGGGGCCCCAGGCAGGCATGGGATTCGAGGTTTAGCCCCAGTCACCTATTCAGCAATGATAAGGCTTGTTTTTACTGTGTTGGCTTTCTCCACACTGAGAATGTATCGGAAAGCTCCCCTCCCCCAATTCTAATCTTTACCATGCTATTTCTGCCTCATGCCCTCTGAAGAAACAGATTTGATTTCACAACCTGTTGGACTAAAAACACAGCATACTAATCATAACACCATATTCTGCGAGGGCAGATTTGACTACCCAGTACAACACATTTCAATATGAAATATTCTGTATACAAGTCCAATGCCATGCTCATAGAAACAAGGAGAACATGGAAACACAGCGACTTGCAACAAATTATGTCCCACACATAATCTATCCAAAAAGGAAAAAAAAATACTCTGTGATTACATACTGATAGAAAAAGACACAAAGCCACAGAAACTGGGGACATGTTCTAGGAGGAACTCATACCTCTTTTTTTAGGGTTTGGGGTCAGTGTGATGTAGATGCTGGTTTGCTAGTTACTATTGATTGAATTGTCATTGGGAAAAGAGCCCTGAGCTGATTGATAGCTAAACTGTGTCACTATTCCTGACACTAAATAACACCACCACCTTTCTACTCCCCATGAGCAATCTCTTTCTCACAAAGCAAATACCAATCACATTCCTAAACTCCAGGAGCCTGTTCTAAACCTAAGAACAAAGAGCACGTGAAGGCCTGGATGAATAGAGCAGGGTAGAGAGTATGTGGCACCTTCCCTCCTTACCTACTGGAACCTAAGTTCTTCCTGCTCACTTTTTACTTTCCACTGTACAGACACCTTTACCACTGCTCCTGTCATCTGTACAGCCTGCAGATCGAGGTTGTGATTGAAATTATGCATCAACTTCAAACTAATAGAAACAGGAAAGTGAGATACTCCATAATGTGTTTCAAGAACAGAGACGTAAAGCTAGAAGGAGCTGTTTAGGGCCTTCTAATCTAAGCCCTTTATTTTGCAGATGAGGAAACTGAAGCCCAGAGAGGTGAAGTAAGGTGCCCAAAGCCACACAGCAAGTTGCAGGCACAGCTAGTACCGTAGCTCAAGTCTCCTGACTCCCAGTCCAGTGCTCTTCCCATTACTCCACGGTCCCGTCTCTAAGCTTCCTGACAAATGCTAGAATGGTAAACCTCCACTAGTATTCTTTCCAGACCATGTTAAAACTCTAAGGGGGAAAAGGATGCTTTCTTGGATAATGTCAGCCATACGTAGCTCAAGCTGTCTAAAGTTCTGGGACAGGGTCTTTTTATACAGCCAACAGAGTCCAAATGTGGTGCTGTTTGCTTGGCCCATATGCTTTCATGTGTTCCCAGTTAGGCCATTACTGGAGGGAAAAAAACAAGAATCAGCTTGTTTTAAAACAAGGGACATACTGGACTCCCTCCCATCCCCCTTCAGAAAAAAAAAAATCAAGTTATCTTTAACAGATTCTAAAAATGCCTTTTCCCAAATATGCAGTCAGTTCCTTCAAAGGGCCCTTTGTTTATTCTCAGGAAGAAACCCAAGACAGCTGAAAACCAGAAGGCATCTGAGGAGAATGAGATTACTCAGCCGGGTGGATCCAGCGCCAAGCCGGGCCTTCCCTGCCTGAACTTTGAAGCTGTTTTGTCTCCAGACCCAGCCCTCATCCACTCAACACATTCACTGACAAACTCTCACGCTCACACCGGGTCGTCTGATTGTGAGTACACCAGTGAGGTGACGGTGTCTTCCCAATGCTTGGCTTGGTGCTTCTCCCTGTACCCCAGGGTTCTGGCTGTTTTGCATTCAGAGCAAGCTGTTTCCATTTGGTCTTCCAGAGTAGCCAAGAGTAGCACGCCACCATTTTGATCCAGCCAGCATCTATATCTATTCAAAGCCAGAGGATCTTTTAAAGCCAGGTGACCAGGCATTTGGCCTCAAAATGCTGATTAATTACACGGGCCACATTCTCTTTCATGAGTAACTCATAAAAAGAAGCGGTGTTGCTGCTTTCTGATTGTTCTTGCTCTCAGTAACAGCACTTCTACCGTTACTAAATGGAACAACCAAATATGGACCTCAGAAGGCCAGTGAGACACAAGGAAACAACCATTTCCAAATTACATAACCCAAGTCAGATTTGCATTAGTTATTGGAGTCTCATGTAGCTTGGCTGAATTTCGGTCTTTCCAGTTTTTAATTTATTTTGAAGTGGTTAAAGGATAGCATACATTTACAGAAGAAAAGAGAATGGCTTCCAAGAATTCAAAAGCCACCCAGACTTCGAATAGCCAATAAGAATGCAGGTTAAAAATATTTTTTAATTAAAAAAACTGCCTACGGGCTAAATTTGGAAATGGGCACTTAATGAGAATCGTCACTATTGAAGTCACTTCTCTGCTGTTTATTTTTGCCATCTTCTCACTAATCTAGAAGTCACTTCTTAAATCCTATTTTAAGCAAGTTGATAAATCACGTTAGGAGGCTGTTTTTCGTTTCTCAAGTGTAACCCAGTACTTGAGAGAGGAGCACATGTGTTGACAATACCAAACCGAAAAAGTATTCCTTTTAGCTTCAAGATGCCCAACAACTCTTCTGAACCGATCTCTCCACAGGGTGTCTGGTAACAGGCAGAGAGCTGGCATAATGGAGTGAGTTAAATATACCAAGAAAGCTTTATTCCCCAAAAGGGCTCCATTTATCCTGTTCCTCAAAGACAAATTAAAAAAAAAAAAAAAATCTCCATTAGGAAACAAGATTCCAAATCTCTTGCTGTTATTTTTCTCCGCAAGGGGGACAAAGGGTGAACCTGGACGATCCCCTCCCCCACTCACTTCGACTTCATAGCCTCTAGACAGGAGATGTGAGCCGGGGCAGGGGTTGGGCTGCAGCCACACTCCAGCTGTCACTAGAAAATGGAAAGAAAATGAGATCCAAGTCCCTAAGTGCCACGTGAGCTGTACAGTCAAACTTGTGGCTTCTATTTAGGCATAAGGACGGAAGCAGGGACTTTATCCCGTGGACCATCACCATAGGTCATATCCTTGGACTTTTTCTTGCCTGGAAGTCTCCAACCTAATAGTAATTACAGGAAGAACTTGAAAATAGCATGGCACAATGCCCCATAGGCATGTGCACACTGCCCCTGCCCACCAGGAAGGTGACTTTCCCTCTGGTAAAAAGCCTGGACCCTCAGTGTGGACATCTTCTTCTTCACCTGGCTTCCTGCAGCACTTATGGGGAAGATTGCATAGGATAGTCCTAGCCCAGAAATCTGGTGTAACCAAGAGAAAGCTTTGCTGAGTAGAAAAAATCACTGTAATTTATATACTGTACAGTAAACATCCTCCGGCCAGGCCTTACTTGCCCTACTACCCTGGCATATGCAGAAGGAACAGCAGGATGGTGTTGTCACTACAGACCCTGTGGAAGCCAGCAGAGTGGAGCTCAGTGGGGTGTGTGAACACAGTTGGAAGTAGACTGAAATGGGAGGAGAAACTTAATCTCAGCTGTCTAGAAAGTCACTTTGATTTTGCCATTAAGATGTGTAGTCTTCTCCACACCGACCTGTTGTTGAAACGGATTGTACTTCTCTCCAAACATATTTGGATTGTAGTTTGTCCTGATTTGAGCCTACACTTCTACACTTAGAGGAAGATTGTTTTTTAGGAAAGATTCACAGAAATCTGTCCATTTGGAGGTTGCTTGAGAGAAGACAGGAAAGGAGTTTATTTTAAGCTGTTAAATTTTTTGGATGCTCTTCTTGCATTCAAGAGGGTTTTTTTCTTTCTTTCTTTTTTTCTTTCTTTCAAATGTCATTCTTACCATAGATTACTTTAAAAGCCTAATTTCTTTAAGGTAAAATATTCAGTTCCTATTTAGAATCAGCAGATTTGGGGCATTTAAAAATAGTGCCCTTGACTTGTTAGTCTCTCTAACTTCAGGAACATTTTACCAGTATGTGGTGTTCCAAGCTTTCACGAGTGCTTGAGTTTTCATAGCACCTTTTATTTTGTTGTGTGCTTAGCAAAATTATTCTTAGTCATGACTTAATGCCTACTTCCTGTCCGTCGGCATGATTCTTCCCAATTTATAGATGAGAGAACGGAGAAAGCCTAGCTGAGGAAGGATTTGCCTGCAGTTCACTCACGTGGGTGCTGATGAGTGTTTACGAATTTGCTGTCATTCTGAGCATCCAGAACTCTCGACTCAAAGTGGAAAGATGGTATTCCTGGCTATAAACAGGCATCTAGGAAGTGTGTGGCTACTCATAATGGTGACGTGGTTATAAAAATGCAGTAGATTAATCATCCCCACAGAGGAGAAGTCAGCTCTGCTGTCACTAGGAAAGGTAGCAAGCCATGTTGCTTTTGCCTACCCATGTAGAGGTGACCAGTCCAGGACCTTAAGTGATTAGTTGGCCATGTAACCTGCCATGCTGCGGCACTTTCACGTTGGCCATGTACCCTTCAGCACTTCTGCCTTCGCCAGAGATCCTAGTGATGGTCAAAAGCGGTAGTATAGTCGGATATGCTTTCCTTCAGTGAGATGCTACTGTTATCCTGCCTCAGAAATGCACATGTTATGGTGGGGCCCTTCCCAATACGGTTTCCTCTCAGCAATATTCTACCATTTCCATGGAGCTTGTCACCTCTACACCATTTCTGAAAGCATAATGGTAAACAAATTCAGATAATGATAATGGAAGGCATTAAGATGAATTTGGGAATAGAAAGGGTGCAAGAACCCTAGGTATTTGATAGAGCAGTTAGCCCACCAAACAGGCTGTGTACGAGGACAAAATGGAGTGAGTAGAGTAGACAGAGTCCCCCCATGCGAAAAGTCCGTCCTGACAACTACCAAGCTGTGGCACATCACAGTCATACTCATGTGACAGACGTAACCAGAACTTTTACTTGCATGTTTCTTCCTCCCTGTCTCTCCCCCGGCCCAATAAGGCTCCCATGGAAGGGGAAGCATTCCTTCCTGACGGCCCTTCCTGCTTCTGCTGGAGATCTACATTAGCTCCCCTTGACGGAAGCTGACCTCCATGGCCACTTACCTCCCAGTGTTTTTGTGCTGGACTCATCAGACTGTCTGGTTCTTGTGTCCTCGCCAAGATGCATTTATGCATTAACAGTTTTTATTTCTTTTTAATTTAACCTTTACACATTACCAAACTGTTGAGTGGGTGGGTTTAAGTTTAGCTGTGTAGGTAGCCTGGTGCTGCTGGGGTTTCCTGCTGTCGAGGAGACTGTGGGCTCTTCCTTTCCTGTCCCCTGCCTGCCATCTTCCCTGGCCTTCTCTCCCTCTCTCAACTATTATTCCCTTCACTCATCCAAGGCCCTGTGATTAAATTTTTAGTACACTTGGATCATTTTGAACTTTTAAGCAATTTCTGAGAGAACAAAACAAAGAGGATTTTTATGGCAAACTCCATTAATGCCACATTAAGGCTGACATTTTAATTACCCCCAAGTCAGGAAATGCAAAGTTCAGGTTCCCACAGCAACAGAAACTGTCCCCTTGAGTGCCGAGTGCAGCATCACAGCAGACTCTTTCATTCGCGGTTACACAACACCGGCAGGAGGACATTGTTTTTAGCCATGTCTGTGGAAAGAAACAGACTTTCCCCTTTGTGTCTCGCCGTCGTAACTACAGTTGAGGAGATGAGCCTTTAGCGCCCCTTCCCAGACCATCTCCGTGTATTATCCTGTAACGGAAGACATGCTCTGCATGTGCACACAGACTGGATTAAAGTTGCTGTGGGGACATTAACTCTGGTTTCCGGACTTCCGTGCCAGTCACATTTAAACCATAATGTTGTAATTTTTGGCATGTAATAAATGTGTGTTTCATGTACACAGACAGAAAGAAGCATAAAATGTATTTTAAAGAGCAATTAATTACTAACTTTGTGATTAAAAAACATTTGGTGCATGTTCCTTCCCATTTAGCATCAGCTGCTGGTCTTAGCCAGGCCTAATAGATGACATACTGTGTCCCATCCTGGATCTCAGATGTACTTACTGTATGTTCCTGTTCTTGTACATAATTAATTCCTTAGTAACGCTGTAGGGGGAAAACAAAATGGAAGGAATATGCAAGCATGTAAATAGGGTAAGGGAGACTTTGAAGGAAATGATTCATTTCTGCAAATAAACCTCTGAGTCCCTGATAAAGAGCCAGAAATCTGCTAAGTGGGTGTAGACAAAGGTTTCTGGCCACCTTGGAGCATCTGGTCCTGGGCCGTAGGAACAACTTGAAAGCACATTTTCCCTCATGAATTCCAGGCTTGCCCAGTGGAGGAGTGACTTTCCTAACTCCTTAGACTTCAGGATTTAAAGGTTGTTTTATTCACTAATGACTATAGTATATTTTCAAATGGGAGGGGAGCTGTAGGGAATTCAGGTAAAAGGTGGGCTTTACAAAAGAACTCCACATTTAGAAAGTAGTGGGGTTTTTTTCTCTACGTACTAATCTGGTTGACCCATTCATGTCTCAAAATAACTAAACAGGTTTGTGAGTAAAAGGCATCACTAGCAGCACACTGAAAATGCAAGTGCTTAGGCTTGTAATGGAAATGAGGAGATATAAAAATCATACTGTAAAGGTGTGTGGCTTCAACCCCAGCACAGCCTTCAAGGACGCATGCTCATTGAGGGTCCTCCTGCTATTTGCTCACTCTTTCCTTTTTTTTTTTTTTTGTTCAGTTTAGTT